CTAGGTAGGGAGGGATCAAGTGTTGCAATTCATGGTGTGTGATACTAGATCCTCAAAGGAAGTCTGCTTTGTTATGAACAAATATAAATTTAACTCTACTAGACTTTTTTTTTTACTTTGCAATTTATCTTTTTTGTTTTACATTGTAATTTACTTATTGGTTTTTCGAGGCAGGGTTTCTCTGTAGCTTTGGAGCCTGTCCTGGAACTAGCTCTTGTAGACCAGGCTGGCTCTGAACTCCTAAGCTCATGTAGTGATCCTCTTGTCTAAACTACTGGATAACTGGGATTACTGGTTCATATCACTGTATCTGGCTTAGATTATTTATATATTGACGTTTTGAGAAGAGTCACAGTGGAGCCCATGCTTGCCTTAAACCTGTAGCAGCCCTCCTGTTTCTGCCTCCCACATGCTGGGAGTACAGGTGTGTACCTTTATGGTTGGCTTCAGAATTTTAAAAATAAAATACAACCTTTTTTTTTTTTTTTTAAAGATTCATTAATCATGTATACAGCATCTGCCTGCATGTATCCCTGTGGGCCAGAAGAGGGCACCAGATCTCATTATAGATTGTTGTGAGCCACCATGTGGTTGCTGGGAATTGAACCCAGGACCTCTGGAAGAACAGTCAGTGCCCTTAGCCTCTGAGCCATTTCTCAGTCCCCCAAATGTTTATACTTTTCTCATATTTGCAGTTAGTTTGCCTTCAGTAAATGTTTTTATGTTGAACAGGCAATCAAACCCACACAATTAAGGGCTCAGCTGGTTTCAACATAGTCAATTACAAATCTTATTGTTACTAGAAATAGCTGAAGTTGGGTTAAATGTTAGGAAGTCATTAAATTAATTTTGAGGGCTGGAGAGATGATTTCAGAGGTTAAGAGCACTGGCTGCTCTTCCAGAGCTCCTGAGTTCAAATCCCACCAACCATAAGGTAACCACCCGTAATGAGATCTGGTGCCCTCTTTTGGCCTGCAGAGGGCACCAGAACATGCACGGCTGTATACATAATAAATAAATCTTATAAAAATAAAAAGTGAAAATACTTTTGAGTAGACTGGCAGTGATACCACACATCTTTAATTCCATCATTCAGGAAGCAGAGGCAGGTGGATCTCTGAATTCAAGGCCAACCTGGTCTACAGAGCAAGTTCCAGGACAGCCAGGACTACATAAAGGAACCTTATCTGGAAATAAAAATTTGAGGGGTTGGAGAGTTAGCAGCTAAGAGCAGATACTGCTCTTGCAGAGGACTTGAGCGAGTTAAGGTTCCCAACACTCTTTTTGGGTAGCTCACAACCACCTTATAGGAGATTCAATACCTGGCCTCCAGGAACCAGCACTCACATGCACAGAACCCTACACAAACATACACATAATTAAGAATAAAGTTTTCCTGGGCAGTGGTGGCACATGCCTTTAATCCCAGCACTTGGGAGGCAGAGACAGGTGGATCTCGAGTTTGAGGCAAGCCTGGTCTACAGAGGGAGTGCCAGGACATGCTCTAAAGCTACACAGAGAAACCTGTCTCGAAAAAACAAAATGAATGAATGAATAAAATCTTTGCGGAAGATAAAACTCTTAAAAAATATTTGAGGCCAAGCATGGCAGGGCCTACAGGTAATGTTAGCACCTGGAAAGCCAAGGAGTTTCAAGGAGCTCAAGGGCCACTCTGGGACACAAGTTCCTATCACAAAAAACAGAAATAAAATTTGAGGAACAGGATAGTATAACATACCTGAAAAGTGATCATTATTGAATATATTTTAAGTTCATTAAGTATGCTGGAATTGAGCTCCCTCAGGAAAACAAAAGTAATGGGATATTTATGCTTTCTTTCATAGTGGCTCTATAGATGGTAATAACCAACTTGTAATCAAAGGAAGATTCCAACAGAAACAGATAGAAAATGTCTTGAGAAGATATATCAGTAAGTGTATAATCGGATTTTATCGTATTATTTTGAAATATTCTCTTTAGGCTGTGGCATTTTGAGGAGATCCATTTGTAATGAACCTGGGAAAAAGTAAGCCTTAAAAAGATGGAGCTGGGGATGGTAGCACATACAGTCCCAGTACTTTGAGTCTGGTGCCAGCCTGATCTACATAGAGAAACCCTGTCTCACTCAAACCTCTCCTCTCCACCTACCCCACCGCCCCACAAGAGGAGGAGAGGATGGAAAATGATAGTAAAGTGGTAGAAAGCCAAGTTAATATAGCCACTGCTGGCTGGTTCTGGCTCGGCTTGCCTAGACCCTCCTGTGTTACCTAATCGTTTAAAACTGGCATTTCCTGCCTTTTCTCACCTAAGGCAAAAGTGGATCATCCATAAATGGCACCAAAAATACCCATCTGGCAAACTTCCCTAACTGGGGCATTTTGAAGTTATTTTAATATGTATTTTACTACACCAAAAGCATTATAGCAGACAGCTAATAGCCATTAGCTAGACTTCCCTGTCTGGTACGGTAAACTGTACTCTCTGGTCTTCAGCTTATGAGGTAGATGCATTTCTGTGGGCAAGCAGGAGCTTCTGCCTTACTGTGCCTAGCAGATAATACTGTGTTGCTTTTTCCACAGAGGAATACGTCACTTGTCACACATGCCGATCACCGGACACAATCCTACAGAAAGACACCCGACTCTATTTCTTACAGTGTGAAACTTGTCATTCTCGATGCTCTGTTGCCAGTATCAAAACTGGTTTCCAGGCTGTCACAGGCAAGCGAGCACAGCTCCGTGCCAAAGCTAACTAATTTGCTAATCACCATTGGTTTTTTCCAAAATGTGTGGTGGAGATTTGGCTGGACAGGTTACCATCAGAGTGGACGTACCATTGAGTTAAAAACAAGATAGAAAATCTGCCAAGTTCTTTGGTGAGTGATTGATCTGAAATCCTTGCAAGATGCTGATACTCAAGCTCAACAGCTTGTTGCCTACTTTAACAACTGTCAGAGAAACGTGATGGGGTAAGGAGGTGCTTTTTAAAATCGTTCATAGACTTCTGTAAAGTGCAAGATAAATTAAAGTTATTATAACAGTGATTCTTTCAATTTGATCTGTCCTTTAGTTTTCTTTTCTATAATAAAATGCTCATTGAATTTAGCAAAAAAAACAAAACAGACTTGGTTCCTGGACTTTGGCAAGTTCTCTCTGTCCTCAGAAACTGAATATTGGCAGATACTAGAGCTGGGCAGCCATCTTCCCTTTCAGCTTCTCTTGAGCTACATGGCTAAAATAGGTATGACTTGAGTGGTTGGAACATAAGGCATGGCACAGTAGCCTGTTTTTAGTGTCCACAGAATGAAGGTTTTCATTATTTCCTTTTGTGAGGATTGTTGCTACTACCTCACTGCCAATTCCTCATTTCCCTCGTGTGACAGCAGTTGAAACTGACTCCAGCTGAAATTTCGGTTGTTATTGCACAAGGGATTACCAGGTGCTAGACCTTGGAATTGTTGTCCTATTCCTGGCATACTAATGATGTTAGGCTTTTTGTTGTTGAGAAAGCATGCACAGTACAGACAAGTCTTAGGGTCTAAAATAGCAGCACTTAAGTTTCTCCAACCTGTGTTCTAGGTCAGTAAAAGACCCTGCCCCCTAAAATGCTTTTCTGTACTAAACTAACTTGAATGTGGCCGAGAAACCAAGAGATACTGCTGTGTGTGTGGTCTTGCTGTTACCTCCAGCTTTGCTTCTGAGGACTGAGCTAGCGAGGTATTCTCCATCGGTGCACAAGGAGGGTCCATCTTGTGGGTCTGTGCTATGTTCTGCCTTACTTGCACCCACCAGGATAAGGACCCACACGATACTCCTCACTTTCCTGCTACCAGACTGTTAATCTTGCTAAATGGCCCAGTAACAGTCACTCAGCCAGCCTTGAGTCTTCTTGGCTATGTTGTTTTTAATTACTGTGACCCTGAATTTTCAAGTATCGGCCAAGTGTTACCAAATAACTTGGCTGTGAAGTGGTAGAGGGATCCTTCCCTAGACCAAGTAGGTCAAGAGATGGGCCATACACTGGCTGACATGCCACTACTCACTGCCATGTTGATCACAATTGTTTATTGACTACAATTTTTTTTTTTCTTTTTTGTACTTCTGCCCCTAATTCCCAATGTTGGCTATTATTGCGTGAATAAAGCAAGGATCGGTGCCTCTTGTATAACTAGTGCTCCATTGCTTTTGTGTGTTGTATGTATGTTTTGTCCAGTTCTTTTCTTGGTGGGACTCCTTAGGGGATGGCATGGGACAGTTTATCTGCTAGTGACTTCAACCACAATTTTCAACTTCATACAGTGAACATTAAAGGACTGGTAAAAGCTGGGTTTGGTAGCACACACCTTAATTCCCAGTACTTTTGGAGATTTAGGCAGTACCAACAAGAGCTCATATAGTTAGGATAGACAGACAGACAGGTATCTAAGATCTCAAAAAAGGGAGGGAGAGAGAGCAGCAGAGGCCTAGTACAAAGTAAATATAGAGACCAGGTTATTGTAAAGTCTAGGGCTGGAAAGGTGGCTCAGTGCTCTCTGAGAGGACTCAAGTTTGATTCCCAGTACTAACTCACATGGTAACTCACAACTATTTAACTCCAGTTCCCAATGCCCTCTTTTGTATGTAATTGATAAGATCTACACAGGTCATACATCTAAAAACATACGAAACTTTTAAAAAATCTAATATGAAAAAAAGGGCCAAGGTGTGTTTAACCTGTGACTAAGGTCATAGTGTTTTATCATAGAAGTAGAGATAGTGAGAAGGCCCAGTGGGTAAAGTGTTTCCTGCGCAAGCCTGACAATCTCAAAAATTCATACAAAGATGGAAAGATCAAAGTGTCTCCACAAAGTTGTCCTTTGATCCCCCCCCACACACACACAAATGGTCTACCATACCATACATGCACAATGACAATAAATGTAAACAAAACCAGCCAAATAAACAAGCAAACCATTCCATCTCAGCGTATTTGGACCAATCTCTTTATTCTCAGGTCCCCCACCCACCCATCCCAACCCCCCCTACTTTCAAACCTATAGAAAAACCCCAAGCCTGGGAATGCCCTGGGGAAAATGGGCAGAATGTGTTCTGCCCCTTGGCCCAGGCAGTGCAGACAGGAAGAGTGCATGGGGTCAGGGGTAGGCCAGTAACTCCACTTGCAAAGGATGTAGCACTCACTGGCTGGGATGCATGGGGAGAGGAGTGCCTAGTGTCAGCTTTCCTCTGGTACCCGCTACAAACTGGCATCCAGAGATGGGTGCCTGTCCTGAGGCCTGAGACAGTGATGCTCTTCTGCTGGTGGCCATTTCTCCTGTCAAGGCAAAGAAGAAACTAAGGCTGAGAGACAGAAACTCTTTAATCACATTAGTAAAGAAAAGGGGTGAACTATCTGCAGAGCTATATTTGCACCTTGCCCAATTTTCTGACCATATAATTAATCATGAGAAAGGCTCAACCTGCCCAGAGCTATCTCCCCACCTGAGCCTTAATACCACAGGATATAATAAACAACATTCTGGGTAAAAAGAAATTCATCAAGTTCAAAGAGGAAAGACCTACACAAGGAGTTTTCTGAACTAATCTGGAAGCTCTTATGGTAGAGATCCTGTATTACAAACATGTGACTTATCAAGGTCTCTGTCACTTATAGACCTCCTCTAGAGTAGGGCAGAACAGGAAAACAGTGGCCAGAGTGGAAACTTTGGGGTTGCATGTTACTGAATTCAAATTTAAGCTCCAAATTTCAAGAGACATGCTGATATTTTACCATTCAACACCTGCATTTCCACTTCTATGATATACACACAATTCTAATCTTGCAGGGTAGAGGAGGAGATCAGATAAACTAACAGCTCCTGTCATACAGGCTTACAGGACATCTCCCATTAACAGAATCAAGCTGAACTAACCAGGGTCCATGAGATAATTCAGTCACCCCCCCCCCTCTGAAAATGAATGGCACCTTTTCCCTAGTCTTCAGAGCTGGACTACAGAACAGGCAACTCTTGTCCGTACTGCACCATGAAGACTGGCCAATAACAGAAGGCTGTCTGTTCTCTCTATGGAATACTTCTCCCCCAGTAATACGCACACTAAGCTGCTGCACAGTATTTTTCTACCACCCCTAGTCCGCAGTTTTCCTCCACTGTCATCCTGCTCCCAAGGGAACACACTTCATGAGTGACCCTGATATGCTGGCTACAGGAGTAAGGCTGCATCTAAGGACCTTCAACCTTGGCACAGTATGATTCTCTAGACCCACAACAGGAAAAAAATTACAGCCTCCACTTCGTTAATTTCCTTCTTGGGCACCCCATACCTGCTTACTGCAAAGCCCCATCTTCTGCATCTGTGTCCTGGCTGTGCTCCTGAGAGGAAAAAGACAAGACATCATTCACTGCAGGTCCCAAGCCTGAGCTTTCTGTCCAGGAAAGTTCTGTGGGTCAGAGCACTACCTGGAGAACCATTTGAAGGGAGATCCAACTAAAAACCAGCAAAAATCTGGCTTAGTATTCTGAGAGGGTCATTTGACAATTGCACAGGAAAGGGAAGAAACCATGGGATTTGCTGGTGTAACGGACACATTTCTATGCATGGAAAGACCATGTTTAGTTTAAAGCCACATAGCTCACCTTTGGAGTACTTTTTAGTCTTTTAGAGCTTTCACTGAGAGCACTATGCCTAAGATAGTAAGATATAGCACCAAGCTAGGCTTAAAGAAAAAGGAAATGAGGGATGTAAGGAGGATTGTGTCCACCACAAGACCATCCTCGTGCTGTAAGCCAGCAGTGATTAAAGAAAGCTCCAGACCCAGTCAAGTGTTTAGGCTTCAGGACAGACAGGGTTTGCTCTTACTTGCTTTAAGGTTCTGAGCAAGATACCTGGTAACTCTGAGCTTTAGCTTCTTCAGGGTGAATGTGGCCATTCTAATGTAATGTGTAGTTCAAGACTATTGTTAAGGTTGTTAAGTTACAAAGTGTGATATTCAATTCAGTGTTCACTAAATAAGCAGCAAACACACTGCAACAGGCATCCTGAATGTTGAAAAGAATTGTACCTTTTCGCACAATTTAGGCCCACTCTCATGGCTCCTAACCTCACTCTGAATACTTCCAGTATATACAGGAGCTCATTCCTTTAAGAGACAGCCTGCTAGATGCTTGAAAGGCAATAGCTTACTAGAAAATTCTCATGTGAAATTAAAATTCCTGTCTTCCTATGGCTTTCCTCCCTGCGAGGCTGTGTGCAATTTTTAGGCCCAATTCTCTTCAATACACGTAGAGTAGAAGACAGATTGGACCCTGGGCTTTGCTGAGGCCTGCCCCAGTATATAGTGGGACTTCTAACCGGCAGCTCAGTGAACGATACACTGCTCACTCATAACTCATCCCTACTCCTCATAGGACTGACACTCTGAAAAGTAAAAAGGAAGGAGCTCACAGGGGGAACAGCCCCAGCCCTTCCAAGTCACACAGCTAGCCAGGCCCTTACCAGTTCTTCCTCACTATGTGTTAGCAGTCCCTCCTCATCACCATCATCTCGAGTTTGGACTTCTCCTTGGGGTGTGCCTGCCTCAGAAGCTGTGTCGTCTTGGGGGGCTGGTGGCCGGCTGCTGCTACTGCAGCTGCCACTGCCACCACCAGCATTGCCACTGCTGCCGCCGCTACCACCAGCATTGCCACTGCTGCCTCCACTGCTGCTGCTGCCACCTCCTCCACCACTGCTGCCGTCGCCCTTCTTCTTGCCATCTTGAAGGATAAAAGAAGTGGAAAAGGAACTAATCAGCTAGAGCAGCTACTCAGCACACCTCAGTGAAAGCTAGTCACTATACAGCAGGTCTCAGGGCCCTGGAACTTCAAGTTCCTAACCCTTGGGCATACTATCTTCCCAAAGACTGACCTGGGTTGGCCTTTTGTTCCTCAGCAATCTGTTCCAAGCGACCCAATAGGGCATCGATGTTAGACTTGATCTGTGTCAGTTCTGTTTTGATGGTCTGTAGCTCGCTGCTCTTTACTGAAAGTAGAGAGGAGACAGGGTTATCACTTAGGGGTGATGCAAACAAAACCCAGCTTCATTCTGTCAACTAGGGAGGCCATTCTCTTTTGGGTCTTTTCCTGCCAAGGGAAAAGATCTCTTCTTGAGAGAATCAAAAGGCTATCTCCAGGGGTGACCAATCTATACATATGAACCTGGCCTAGACCTCCCAATCCTATAGGGATTACAGATGAATAGTATATAGATGTTAGTTTCTGTCCTGCACAGTCCCACAGCTATTCAGTCCCAAATAAACACACAGAGGCTTATATTAAATAATAAACTGTTTGGCCTATTGTTCAGGCTTATTACTAACTAGCTCTTATGATATATTAACCTATAATTCTTGTCTATGTTTAGCCATGTGCCATTCTCATCTTGCTTCCTCTGTGTCTGGTTGGTGACTGACTCTCTGCCTTTTCTCTTCCCAGAATTGTCCTAGTTTGCTAGCCCCACCTATACTTCCTGCCTGGCTATGGTCCAATCAGCGCTTTATTAAATTAATATGAATGACAAATCTTTACAGTGTACAAAAGCATTATCCCACAGTATAGGAATGAAAGTATATTTAAGAATACGACACCCACATTCCAAAGATGTAGGGTGGGAGGTTTTGGACATTCAATGGGTTATGGATATTTGTCATTTTGGGGGGTTGGGGTGTGGGGGGTTGCAAGTTGTTATTGGTAATGGTCAGGAAAAAAGCTAAACAAAGGAAATTTGATTTAAGGTTTTTGCGTTGCAAAGAAAAAAGGATATAGATATGATAGGATAAAAGGGTAGATTATTGAATCAACTCTGAAAAAAAGGATGATAGAGATATAAAAGTAGATTATGAATCTACTTTTAAAAAGCAACTACTAGTTTTAAAAGTTTTACATAGAATTGGACTTTCGTATACTGTACACAAATTTTATATATTGATAGAAATTTGAGATTAATTTTGTTAAAACAGACTGTACATACATTTCTAATCTTTTTCAAGGTACTATACCTATACAGCTCATTTAACAATGTAGTTCAAACTTCTAATCCTTGAAAGTATTATTACCAACTGTTTAGGATAATAAGGAAATACAGGTTAGTAATTAGTCACCTATTACAATTGAACTTGTCACATTAAATATGTTTTCAAGGTCAAACAGAGCTATATTTTAAATAGACAGGTTATCTTCAAACACTTCAGAGATCTACAGAATATGGCATTTAATTTTTTTAGAATGACACTGTTTTTTTTTTTTTTAAATGAAAATGAGACATATCTGCTCCTGGTGGCACCAATCTACTTCAGAGAAGATGATGGGCATGGAAGAAACTCCACATGGAGTTTGCTTTGTTTGTAACAAAAGTAAGCCACTGGGCAAGAAAGTGCCCTTGCCTCAACTGCTGACATTATGCTGTCCTGATTGCAGCCAGCCATACCTCACATTTTTCAGAAGTCACTCGCACTTCCTGCTTACACAGTTATTATTATACTTCTTGGGTCTCTGAGGTAGTTGAAAACTAGACAGTTATAGTTTTCACTGCTTACGGGACTCAGAAAAGAAATTCACTAAAGAAATGTAAAGTATTTAAGGTTGAGAGATAGCAAAAGATAGCTTTGAATGGTAATACAAGTTATGATAGTAAAATTAGGTATGAGACTTTGAACTCACCAAGATAGGATATGGATTATTTTCTCTGAATTTGTCAAATGCAAAGGAACTAGGCATTGTTGATGTATTTACTGCCTGTATATATTGTATATAGTTATTGTACTTATTGTATATAGCTCTTATATTATAGATATAGTCTTATTTTTTTATGATTTTAGATAAAGGGGGAAATAGACTGATATTTTATTTATGTTTTAATAAAGCTTGCCTGTAGTCTGGGCCATGTGTGCTGCGCATCTGCAATCCCAGCATTTCAGAGACTAAGGCAGGAGGATTTTGAGTTCTAAAGTAACCTGGTTTAAATCATGAGATCCTATCTCAAAAAGAAAAACAATGTAGGTCTGCAGTGAAGTAATCATGTGTCATCAGGTGTGTTATTGGGTGGGGCTGTGCTAGGTGGTGGCACACGCCTTTAATCCCAGCACTCAGGAAGTAGAGGCAGGTGGATCTCTGTGAGGAGTTTGAGGCTAGCCTGGTCTACAGAGCAAGTTCCAGGACAGACTCCAACACTATCTTGGAAAAAACAACAACTAAAAAGCCTATTGCAATTAGATTTCCTGAGTGCTTGACTGCAGTATACAAAGACCAGAATGCTATTGCCTCAGTGGGTGTCACACCACAGCGCTGGACTTTTTCTTTCTTTCTTTTTTAAGAAATGCATCCAAACACATAATTGTTAAGAGTAACTTCAACTGTAGATTTACTCCTTTATTTATCAATGTTAATTAAGTATGATTCTAAAGGCTAGAGAGATGGCTCACTGGCTAAGAGCACTGGTTACCCTCGCAGAAGACTGAGTTTGATCCCTAGCACCTACATGACAGCTCAAAACTGTCTGTAACAACTGTTCAGTCCCAGAGGATCCATCACCTTCTTCTAGCCTCCACAGGCACTGCATATACATGGTGCAGAGGTACACATGCAGGAATACACCCATACACATAAAATAAAAACAAAGATTAGCCCGCCAATGGTGGAGCATGCTTTTAATCCCAGCACTTGGAGGCAGAAGCAGGCAGATCTCTGTGAGTTCGAGGCCAGTCAGGTCTACAGAGTGAGTGCCAGGACAGCCAGGACTGTGACACAGAGAAACCCTGTCTTGAAAAACAAAAAGAAACAAAAAGTTTAAAATTTTAAAAATCAATTGCTAAAAATCTGATTCTATCATTTTAGTGATAAAACCCAAACCATTTAGAGCAGTGCTTCTCAACCTTCCTAATGCTGTAACCCTTTAATATAGTTCCTCATGTTATAGTAAACCTGAACCATAAACTTATTTCATTGCTGCTTCTTAACTGTAATTCTGCTATTGTTATGAACTGTAATGTAAATATCTGATATGCAGGATATCTGGTATACAACCAAAGGGGTTCAAGATCCAACAATCTAGAAAGACTGACAGATGTCACCAGGATGCGGTGGAACACGTCTTTAATTCCCCAGCACCCAGGAGGCAGAGGTAGACGAATTTCTATGAGTTTTAGGTCAGTCTGGTTTATATGGTAAGTTCCAGGCCAACCAGAGATACACAGTGAGACCCTGTCTCAAAATAAAATAAAATAAAAATGAAAGAGAGAAAGAGAGAGAGGAAGGAAGGAAGGTATCACTCACACTTGATCTTGGCTGAGCCAGTAGTGATGGCTGTGGAACGGGCAAAGAGCTTGACAGGTATTGTAGTTTTGACACGGCGAACCAAAGGAACCGTGACACGAGGTCGCTTCACCGGAACTGCTCTGGGCACAGGCACTGGAGAAAGGCGGCCTCGATAATCAAACAGCCTGCAAAGGCAAATAAAACAGAGGCTGCAGCATGGCCTGTGACCACCAGGAGGCACTATAACACTAGCTTTACCCGTCTAACCTGAAAGGGCCAGAAAGAAGTGTCTGCTTTCAGTGAGCCCTGGTATGAAAAGGGCTTTCTTTATTTCCACCTTATCCCCAGTCAGGCCAGGAGCAGTATGGATTCCCAATCTCAAGAGAATGACATCCAGACCTACCTTCTACTTAGATAACCACCACCCCCAACCTTTGATCAGTCTGTAAATGTCAAAACAGCCTAAATCCCCACCTGGAAACAGGTTTGAAAACAGGTGGCCAACCCCTGAACCTTGGTTTTCCCATCTACTTAATGAGGGCTGTCCAAGTTCACTGTCTACCTGAGCGTGCAGTAAGGGTAGAGCATGAGAACCTGATTTAAAACATTTGAGAAAGTATGACAATGACAGACAAAAGCTGGATACACACTCAACCATGGCCTCAGACTCTAAGCCCCTTTTTTCTCCCCACCCCGGACCCCGAGACTGGGGTTTCTCTGTGTATCAGTCCTGGCTGTCCTGGATCTTGCCTCGAACTCACAGAGATCTGCCTGCCTCTGCCTCCCAAGTGCTGGGATTAAAGGCGTGTGTCACCACCGCCCCGCTAAAACCCTTTTTTTCTTTTGGACCACTTCAACGCCTTTTATACTTCAGAGATATAGGTCAAGCACTCCACAGTATTTAAAGGGTGGGTACTAAATTAGACTCAAAGCTCCCAGGCTATCTGCTGTTACTCTAGCATATAACCTGGTCCTCTCCAGAAGGGATTCTCTTCCTGAAAATGAGACAGAACTGAAGGCTGAGTAGGAGAATTGTCCCACCACATCTGCTTTAACCTCAGCTCTGAAAGGAACCACAGCCGTGTCAGGGATATACTCTGTAACTACTTTTTGGAGTCATAATACACGCCATCACTAAGAAACTCAAGGCTCCATTTTTTGGTGCTCTTGTTCAAAGAGTAACAGCTAGGGGTCAGTCTCTGGGAATGAACCAATCCCTGACCACATGGGGAGGTGATGGCTTTGACCTTGGTCAGAAATCACTGAACCAGTGAATCCCACGAGCTTCAGGAGTCCTGAGAGATCATTTGGTGTAAGCCTATCTCACTGGCTAGTAGTAGGAGAATTTGGAAGATAGACAACCCATTCACTGACATGGCTGAGATCAGCATGCAATTCTCCTGACTTCCAGTTATGAGACTTTCCACTGTACCACACTATTTCCTGAAACACACACAGCAGACAATGGTTCAGAAAAGGTGTTTTTCTTGGAATGTCTGGAGAAGGAAGGAGTGATTTTGATTTAATCTTTACCACAACCTCTAGTCAAGCATATGACCAGGAGCTGGCATTGTGGTTAGTCTTATAATCCCTGTACTCAACAGGCAGATGTAGAAGGATAATGAGTTCTTAAAACTGTTCTCAACAAATGTGGCTGAGGCCTCTGGAATAGACTTCACAAGGTTGAAGTCTAGGTAGGACTGACTGGGGATAGAAGGCAGATCACAACCCATCAGGGACTAATTCAGGCCTCCAAATAACTGGGGCCTCTTAGTCTTAAGTGTCAGATCAAGCTTTCATTTTGGCTGGGTGAGACTGAACAGAGTTTAAGGGCTCAAGAACTACCTGTGAAGGCACTGTGACTGTTTTTGCTCCCCAGCTAGCCAGCTGTGTTCATCCTTAAGCTATACTCTACTCCCCTACACTATAGGACTAGAAAAACTAACGTACTAGAAAGAGGCAAGACAGTCAGACATAAGTGCTCTGGTCCAAGCTCTGTCCCCGATTTGTGAAGCATCCTGAAGCAAAGACCCATTCACACTTCTGTGCTTCAGTTCCCAATCAGGACTCTGTGAGCTACACCAGCAATCTCTTAAGACCCTTCCAGTTTGGCTATTTAATGCCTAGACACGCCCCTTCCCTGCTCACCTGGCATAGAAGTAGTCTTGATAGTAATCATAGTCAAAGCTGTAGCCACTGGGAAAACAAAGGGAGATGGCCACTCAGCCCACTTCTCCATAGGTCCTCATCTCCAAATGTCTTCCTAAATTCTAAACTCAGCACACTGTCACTATCAGCATTTACACCCTCTGTGAAAAGAGGAACCCAACCAATACAGACAAAAAAACCATAGAGCCTCACCTGTATATGGCAGTTGCTGCTCTCTTTAGCCCCTTGGGTCTATTGGGCTTGGGCTCTCCGGCCATGTTGATGTCTGTGTGGAGGGAAGAAGCAGAGTTGGAATGCTGACGTGACAGCAGTGTGCCCACACACATCGTCATGGTGCCTCCATGTATTCACACAATGCACACATGGAGCTGAGGTATCTAAAGGTCTTCACTTCATTTTCAAACATTAGAAGAATACTAGGACATCATAGAGATATGCCTGGTTGTATAGTCATATATATATTCTAATACATACATAAGTCTTCAATACATATTTCAAGTATATGCATAAAAATCAGATATATATGAACACATACACACCCTCACATATTATATACATATCCAGGTAAGAAAGTCATATACATAGATAACCCTTATATTCAAGTATAATCAGGCTGCTTAAAGGCAAAGAAGCCAATGAATACTCATGGGTATTACACTAAACATCTTTATGCCTACCATAGTGCTTAGCCTATAAGAAATATTCAATAAAAAAATAAGCACATCTGCTTCCACACTCACAAATATTCTCACACACATTATACATATACATGTAAAACTATGTGCTCACATTCTCTACACATTTAATCACATCTGCACATCTCATATTCACTAATACATACATATAGATATACCCTATACAAAGTATGTGAGCAAGCAAGCAAGCACACATGCACACATACACACATAAAAACACTGAGGTAGACAACAGTCACTTCATATGTATGTAATCAGTAATGCCAAGAGCACAAGGCTTCCCTTTAGTCCTTGTGTTCACAGCTCCTCACAGCTTTTAGAAAGGATTCTAACCCCTATCTTCTATATAATGGGGTAACAGGATATACCAGATCATTTTGTTCCTTTTTGCTTTTAACTGGACCCATAAAGCTTGTTATTAAGAAGTTATGACGGTAGATCAGTGAGTGCACTGCTCAACCCACATCTGAGAAGCTGCTTCTTACAATAGACAGGAATTAACAGACACCCAGGACTGAACAATGTGAGTTCTAAATAGGATGTCTTCATCAAACCACTCCCCTCAAGGCACACTGATCTAGGCAGAAGAGGAGGTGGAAAGACACAGTGTCTTCCAGACACAACAGGACTAGTGCGCATCTGAACTGCTGTGGCAGCACACACAGGACCTACACAGGTTCGAGCCCAACCAGGTTGTAGCACTTAAAGGGGTTAATTGAACAAAGTATCCTTACTCCTAAACAAGAGGTTATTTGCAACTGATATCTGCCAGCAAAAGAATTTGCAAAATTAGTTTGCTCCAGTGTGTTTATCACATACCAGGGCAGGCCCCTGCCCAGGAGGAAAAAAACAAAACGAAAATTAGATGGGTGAGTATGATCTGGGAGGAAGCCGGGCGGTGGTGGCACACACCTTTAATCCCAGCACTTAGGAGGCAGAGGCTAGAGATCTCTGAGTTTGAGGCCAACCTGGTCTACAGAGCAAGTTCCAGGATAGACTCCAAAGCTACAGAGAAACCCTGTTTGGGAAAAAACAAAGTCTGGGAGGAGTTGGGGAATATTCAAAATATACTGTATGAAAAAAAAAATTTAAGGGGAAACAAAGAGGCTATGAAGAACAGGGAGAAAGGTTTTGTCTAGTAAGCCTGATGGCCTGAGTCTGATCCTAAGAACCAGCATGAAGGTGAGAACAGAGAACCAATTCCACAAAAGCTGTCCTCTGACATCTCTCTACACAGGAGCCATGATATACATATTTATGTGTAAGTGTATACAAGCCTTATTCATTCATTCATTCATTTATTTTGAGACAGGATCCCCCTGTGTAGGCCTGGTTGCCCTGGAACTCACTCTATAGAGCAGGCTGGCCCTAAACTCAGAAATCCACTTGCCTCTGCCTTCCAAATGTTGGGATTAAAGGCACATGCCATCATACCCAGAAACACAAATAATTTTTAAAAAAGACTCACTGGGAAAGCAAAGACAGGAGAAAAGGGGCCCCTCTAATAATCCCTTATAGGCACTCATTTAAGAATTACAAATATAACTTATAAAATCCCAGACAGTAGCTACATAGAGGACAGCAGAGGTTAACTTACCCAGAGTCTGTCCAGCCAGCACCCGTCCATTCTCTCCCAGCACAGCTGCCCGGGCATGGCGCTCATTTGCATACTGGACAAAAGCATAGCCTTTGTGCACAGAACAGCCAGCCACACGGCCATACTTGGAAAAGATGGTTTCCACATCTGACTTCTTTACCACAGCCGTGTTTAGGTTTCCAATGAAGACCCGAGAGTTGATGGACTTGGGGTCATTCTTGTTGGTTACATTGCTGGTCTGAATCTTCAAGGACATGGTATCCACCTGAAAAGATAATGCCAATGTGAAACTGGGCTCCCAGGCTAGGCTCGGGGAATGTTCGTGGCCCATATGTGACTAACCTGGATTGTTCCTTGCCTTGCTCACATTCTCATCCCTATGAGAATCCCCCCGTCCCTGCAGCCTGTTTTCTTGTTACATTATCAATAGTTGCCACTTACTGGCTGCTAGTCTTATACTAGATGGCTTACAATGTTCCCTTATTTGGTACTCACATGGGAAAAACCAACACTGGAAGTTCATAATGCTAGTCAACAGCAAGGCTGGCTTTAACCAGTCTCTTGACTCCTTTTAATTAGCATTGGGTGTTTTTCAGCAGGAAACTAGAAGTTACAGAGAGCTGCGAGCCACCATGTGAGTGCTGGGGGTAGAATCCGGGTCCTCTGGAAGAACAGACAGCCAGCTGGGCCATCTTTCCAGCCCTGACTCCATTTTTCTTAAACCCTGTATCTTTTAAAATATTTATCACAAATGTTACCCCGTTTAAAAACTAAATTTAGTATTTTTCTACGCATTTCTGTTCCTTCAATGCAGAGCCATAACAAAGAGGACACAAGCTATTTCAAGAAATTTTTGAAGTCCCCTATTATAAAAATTGCTTAGTCTGATCTAGATGAACACCTCATCTTTACTAACCCAGCCAATAAAGTCTTTATTGTGCCAGCCACTCTACAAAAGGTGCACTTACTGTAGGCTAAGGGTGATTGATCCCAAAAACTTGTGGATGAATATATAGATTATTTTACCAGAAACTGAGACTCAGCTTTTTTTTTAAGATTGTTAACTTGCTAATAAGAGGCATTTAAACACTTTTAAAGCCCATTTCTGTCAGTTTCATCACTGCCTCCTAGAGTTAAAGCCAATTTAAATAGTTAAGATAACAAATTTACCTGAGAATGGTCTTTAGTAATTTAATTTATTAGTTATTCACTTTATACTGATTCAAAATCAGTTCAGTTTATAAATGAGTTTGCAACTCCTCTTGTACGTGTGTCTATATGCAGGTCAGTAAACAAACTGAATTATCATGCCTCAGGTACAATCTGCCTACTTGTTTGTTTTGTTTTGTGAGACTGTTTTTTAATCTTCACTGAGTAGGCTGACCTCGCTAGCCAGTAAGCCTACCTCTGCTTCTTCTAGCACTTGTATTACAAGTGCATACCCCTATACTTGACTTTTTAAAATCTAAGACCTGTTGCCTTTAATCCTAGCACTCAGGAGGCAGAGGCAGGTGAGTTCAAGGCCAACCTGGTCTACACAGTAAATTCAGGCCAGCTAATTAGACTTGGTCTTTAAAAGGGGGGAAAAATCTGTACCCCACAGAGCCCCTCTGCAGAACAACTGCACCTTGGCATAAGCACCAAGAGATGTTAATTCCAGAAGGCAAAGTAGGTGGCTTCGTGTTGGCATTTGTACTTACTGGCCCTGTGTTCTGTGTGTAACTCCAATCTCATCTTCTAGGGCAGTTTCAAAAGGTACTAAATAGTCTCCAATCAAAATGTATAAAAACTTTCACCAGCCTGCCTGTTTATTCTACCTAATACTGGGGGGTTCGGGGGGCTTTTTTCCCCAGAAAATTAAGACTTTAAGCTGAAGAAATGTGTAATCTTTCTGTACGATCTTAAAGCAAGGTCTCAAAGCTTATCTTGCTGCGACTGAGGAAGAGGCTGGTATGAGCTTTAGAACTGACTTGGCTCATTACTAAGTTTACTTTTACACCAACATTTACAAATCACTGAAGGACACAAGGAGATACCCATGAACACACCAAATACACTCTCCATAAGCAATAGGAAATGTTTAATGGTCCCCATCTTTCAGTTACAACAATCCTCCTACCTGGATGGTAAGTCATTCAAAGGTTAATTCTGTGTCCCTCCACAAATAAAAAGAAACTATAAGCTGCCTACATGACACTAGGTGACTGATCCTGCTCAAAATTATGCAGAGATGCCACTTTGTTTGGCAGGAGGAAGCCAGCCAGGCCTAGAGTGTGGACGGAGAAAAGAGGGAAGGCAGAGATGATAGAGTTCAGATGCAATGGCTGCTGGCTCTGCCGTTTACCTGACAAAGACTGTTAGGAGTGTCTAACATGCTGTGAGCAGGGAGCATTCACTGTGCACCCTTGTGTAGCACTGTGGAGAGATCAGCACTCACTGGTTTACTGGAGAAGTCTTTCAGGGTTGGCTCTGCCAATCTTTTCTCAACTTACTTGAGCCTTGGGACAATAAATATAAAAGAACCTTGCAAATTGTGGAGGATTTTACAAGATCAAATATTAGTACAACCTACAAATCTGTCTATTCTATTAACACCACTGCTAGTGGGACCACTCTAAACGAGAGTCATGAGCAGACTGGAGTACATTCTTAGGATACCACGAATCAAGAGTCAACTGTGTCGCCTTGTTCTGCTCTGTAGAAAGGACACAGAACATGCATGTGGCTGCTAAATGAACATGTTCTGGTACCCAAATCTCAAACTCTCAATCTATATGCTCCCAGCTGAATTTTAAGTATTGCAGGATACTTTGGCATGTAGGCTATATGCTATTCTGTAGACTCCCTAAGCCCAAGGACAGATACATGTCTAGGGAGTTGTAGAACACTTGAATCGTATCACAGAGGTGTATGCCATACGGCCTAGCTTTCAGGCCTGGTTTGCTGGTCTGGTCCAAACACCCACCCTCACAAACCAACAACCCCCAACTTAATAAATAGCCCTATTTTATATTTCCCCCTTTATTCCTCTGATCTTTTAAAAAAGACAAAGTAACATGTAACTAAGGCTGGTTTTGAACTGGTTATATAGCCATGGATGATGACAAACTCCAGACCCTCCTGCTTCTCAAGTGCTGGGATCACCAGCTTGTGCCACCACATCAAGATTAACGTGTCTCAGAGTAGGAATCCTAAAAGTATCAATATCCATTTCAGCAAAAACTATCTCATTTGATAAAGTATTCCCTACTGCCAGGCAAACCTTGCTTATAAACTGTGACTAAAATCAAAGTACCAAAAACTCCAAGATTTTTTTTTTAATAACAATACAACTGAGGAGAGGTAGGTAGTGGGCATGGGGAGGGCAGAGGTCTTACAACAACCACATGTGTTATTAGAGAAATCTGTAATGATAGATTAGCTGGAACTTTGTTTTTATGTTCTTACTGTGGCAATAAAATAAAATAATGGAGAAGAACCTGGCCAGATACCACAGAACAGCCTGGGTTTGGGATGTCCTCTAGCTCTAAGTCTAGGTGTTTTTGTTGTTGTTGTCTTTTTTTTTTTTTTGCCCTGGCCCTTTGATATCCTCTCTCCCACTCGATCCCTCCAAGCCCCTCTCCCCCACCTCTCTCTTTAAAGACAAAGTCTCATATAGCTCAAGCTGGCCTTAAAGTCTTCCCCCTACTTCCACTTCCCAAGTGCTAAAATTACAGGGATGGGCTATCATACCCCACAAGATCAGGATTTTTGTATTCTATTTTTCCTTTAAGTGAGATGGGCATTCAGGACAGCATGGAACAGAAAACAAAGACAGCATCTCAAAAACACTGCTATGCTGGAGGAAAACTAGAGGGACTGCCTCCTAGGCCACTGTCTTCACTTTCACTTGCTAGACAAACAACTGCTTAAAAGCTGGAGTCTTACTAATTAAATCCCACCAGGAACAAAAGCTTTGAAATGCAATTACAGCTCAAAGGGATGGGCCAGCTTCTCCAAGTTAGTAAGAAAAAAAATTTGGCAAAAAAAATCGACCATTTTCCCAAGTTCAAACATTTCAGGCAGAAACTATGTTCTAGAACACAAAAGCCAACACTAGGGGGAAAAAAAAGAGCTTTGCAAACATACCTAAAAAGTATGGACAACTCCTAAATTTTTGGTAACTGAGAATCTACCCAAATTCACTGCAGTAAAAAGAGCCTCTGATTCTGAGGACCAGTGCTCCATACATCTCTTCCCATTTAACCTTCACATAAGATTTGTTTTTTTTAAATAGGAAAATGAGACAAAGTAATTAGTTAATAAAACAAAGCCACAACTGGATTCAGGTCTGTCTGACTGAAAAACAAAACAAAAAAGCAGGCATCTACAGGGGCCAGATTGTGTGTGGAAAAATTCTTGAGGTAATAGTTTCTAGGGCAAGAATATTCATCTGAGTCAAACACACACACACACCAATCCCCCTTTTTTCTCCCCCCCTTGTACAGTTCTTCAAGTTGCATAGGACTTTTGTGAATGCCATAGATGTCTGTCTGTGAGGCATTTAGAATCTCATTCTTCCTTCAAATTCTATGTTGAAATCTAATTTTAAGAGTTTAAGAGATAGATCAACAGCCTTCTGTCCATCCCTCACTGCCTGGTAACCAAGAGCAGCTGAGCCACAGAGGCAGTAGAACTTATGGGCAAACTGCTTAGCTTTCTCCAGAAATGGTTATCTTTATCATTAATAGCAACTTTCTTTCTAAAGCACCCAGATAACACCAGAGTTATCTAAGGACAGGCGACAATGGAGTCTTTAGAAGGTTATTAGGGCATGAGAGCCAACTCTGCATAAATGGGTTTTAGTATCTTTATAATATAAAGAACCTCCTGAGAACTGCCTTTCCCTCTCCACAATGTAAGACTAGAACAAAAAGACTTGCCCTGGAACCAAGCACACTTACCAGATACCTTCATTTTGAACTCTAGAACTTAAAGAAATAAATTTATTGTTCATAAAGTAACCATTTTTGTCATAGAATCACAAAAGGACTAAAATAATATTGCTAGTCATCCCCCCAACCCCTTTTAAAGACTGCAGTTTTTTGAAGTTATATGATTTATGTAAGGTCAAGCAGCTAGTGAGGGGACCTGACATTCTACAGATTATCTGTAAACCTGACTCTGATTCAGCCACGACTACCTCATTAGGCTTCAATCCTAATCTCAGATTAAATTAAGCCTAGTGTTTAAACCTGCCCAGGACTGAACCTGTTCCTCTAAGGA